GGTGTGGGGTGGTTGTATAATGGGCATGGGCATGGGCATGATATGGGTAGGGTGCGGGGGTGGGCCAGGGGCCCAACACCCCGGGATTAGGGTTTGGGTACGGTCAGTTCCAGAAAGTGTGCCCGTCTGTGGGTGGTCGTTGCCTCGAACCGCTGTTTTGGCGCCCCTCGACCACGCCACCAATGCGATCGACACTCTCTGCGTAGCGGTGGAGCACGAGATGGCGGAAGAGCCAAAAGTTGACGATGGTGGCAATCCACCCATCACAATGATGTCTGTAAGTCGGTCAGCGAAAGAGGGTTCAGGCTGGGAGAAGGTTGTTTGCAAATCGCCGTCCAACATTGGAAACTATGGACAGAAGATGTATATGAGATGAGGAGGATCGAGTAAAGTAAGAGATCGACTTGTTTAGATAGTTAGCTCGAAGAAGAGGCTGATCTTAAGTGTAGTGGAGAAGTTCAGAGTTGAAACATGGAAGGGTTGTGGGGGTAGTAAAGCTGATAGAGCTTGCTAATTTGGCGTGAGATGAGGAATATGTGTGATATGAGGAAGACTGATTAGAGAAAGAGGCTTGTTTATTTAGTTAGCTCGAGGAATTTCAAGGTTTGTAATGATAAAAAGGTATAAAGAAGAATATCCAAATCAATCTTTGATTTTCAGCCTATTCTGGAATGTCGTTGCTCCTCCCGTCGGCCTACTCCAGAAAGGCATTTGACCCGCAGATGGGACACAAGGTACTAAGCGCGAGCCACCCGGCAAGACAGTCCGCATGGAAAGGTGGGAGCACAATGTAAACATCGGTAGCCCCTCACCCGGCTCGAACTCCTCCAAGCAAATTTCGCAAGTGTCGATCACATCTCCTGTAGTTAAATTTAAAGTGCAGCATGAGAGACCTTCCACCAACACCAAAGACCCTCACTACCTAGCGACGGCAACCACCACCTTGCGGCGTGTCTGGCGATGGTGGAGCATGAGACGACGGATGAGCCAAAAGTGACGATGGTTGCAATCCCACACATTGTGTAACACCCTAATCCGTCCAGGTCTGCAACCCCATTCGGACTAAAGTATTTAACTTGGTAATCGTAAAATTTAAAACTTTTCAAACACACTTTATTAATCCTAATAATATTTTTCATAACATATATAGTACGAAGTATTTAACAATATTGCGGAAGCGAATTTAATATTGACATATCATAAATTATTTCAAAACTTGTCACATCCATCCTGACAATCTCGCCCCATCTGCCGCCAGGATCACATTAAACTTTCTGTTTTACCTGCGTGTAGCAAATAAAACACACTACACGCTCAGCGGTGAAGCTGAGTAAGCATATCTAAAACGTCGAACATCCACATAAATTGAATCTCAATTCATAATCAACCATTTGATATCATGCACACAATATATGGTTCAAACATTCAAAATATTTTCAATATTTTATTCCAAGTCATTTGATATTCAATATATATCAATAATGCTCTTAAATTATTCTTAATCTAAGGCCACATCATTTTATATTCAGCTCTTAGCTATTCCTAGTCTAAGGCAGTAACTCTAACCAGGCCCTTAAACTATAAATAGTTTAATGTAGAACACAAGAATCGATAATCCACCCTATGAGTCATGTGGATTACGTACCAACCGAACAATGATTTGTCGGGTGGGTGATATCCGGTCTGGATCCCGTACGTACGTTTTAACCCCGAAATATGAATTGGTCAAGGAGGTATATCTTAGAGTTCTTCTAGATATCCTTAATAATCATCATCATTATACAAGTGGGTATATCTTTAGAGTTCTTTTAGATATCCTTAACAACATTATTCATCAATTCATATTCTTAGTTCAACAATCATTTAATAATCCATAATATTCATCAAATGAACAATCTAATAACAATC